ACACTGCCACCTCCTCCTCGCCTCCCCAACTCCCAGCCAAGGCGCGCGGTGGCGTCCTCGCGCCCTCGCCGGCGCCCCCGCCCGTCGCCCGCGCAGGCCAGGCATGAACGCTGAGACTTGCGTCTCTTACTGCGAGTCGCCGGCCGCTGCCATGGACGCCTATTACAGCCCGGTGCCGCAGAGCCGGGAAGGTTCGTCGCCTTTTAGGGGATTCCCAGGAGGCGACAAGTTCGGTACAACTTTTCTGTCGGCCTCTGCCAAAGGACAGGGATTCGGGGACGCCAAGAACCGGGCCCGCTACGGCGCGGGGCAGCAGGACCTGGCGGCACCGCTGGAGAGCAGCGCCGGGGCGCGGGGCTCCTTTAACAAGTTCCAGCCGCAGCCACCCACTCCGCAGCCGCCGCCTGCTCCGCCCGCGCCGCCGGCGCATCTCTACTTGCAGCGGGGCGCCTGCAAAACACCCCCGGACGGCAGCCTCAAGCTTCAGGAAAGCAGCAGTGGCCACAACGCGGCCTTGCAGGTTCCCTGCTACGGTGAGTGCACGTGCGGGGCACCGGGCCCGGGGACCCTGGGGTCCGCGGCTTCGGCTACCCCCAAACCCGCTGGGCTGGCGGGAGGCTGGAGGTGGAGGCTGGAGGAACTCCCGGTCTGCCCCGAGGCTCGAGAGCTTCGAGGACATCTCTGCGTCCTGCTGCGTCTCCAGCCCGGGCCCGGGCTCGAGCGCTGTGGCTTTTCCACTGGCTTTGGCGTCGCTTCCTGGGTTTCTCCTCTGTTCACCCTAACGTCTCGCTTTGCGCTGTCCCGCGGGGCTGGATTTGAAGCGGATGCTTCGTCCCGGTTCCCGGCGGGAGGCTGCTAGAAGTTTCTCTCGCTGCTTTGGGCGAGCGGCTCCGGAGCCGCTGAGGCCTGGCTTCCCCGCCGCTGGCAGCCTCCCCGCACCGTGCCGCAGGTAAGAAGCCGCAGGTGTCGAGCGCGCGGGGAAATCCTGGGCGCAGTCCCCGAGCCTTCGCTAGAAGCCACCGCACCGCGTCGCTTGCTACGCTCATGCGGGTCTGGGTCCAGAGAACCTGGCGCATCAGAAAACCTGAATCCCGGTCCGGGGTGGGGAGCGCGGATCGCCTAGGGGGCCGCGGCCCGCTGGTCTGAGATGTCTGAAAGTAGCGGCATCGGAAAAACACGGTTTAGGACCTACTGAGTGGGAAAGCAGTAAGTCTGAGATACAGCCAGCACAGGACTGTGGAAAGAAGGAAGAATCCGCGTCCTGGTTTGATCCCACAAGGAACCTGATCAAGATGGCCTAAATGACCTCCAAGCCCCCTTGAACGTGGCTGCAGGGTTCAGGCCTGAGTCTTCCGTGTTCCGCTACCACTGAGGACTCCGCAGCAGCTGATCAAATGAGTTAGGAAACCAAACCATCCAAACCCCTAAACGCTCTCTTTTTCCATAGCATCCGAGTTCTTCGGAAACCCCAAACTCAAAGAAGGGAGAAAGGACCTTCTCCCCGGGCCTTTGTCTTTAGGCTAGGCCGTAGTGAAATGCGCTGGTACTTGACAGACCAATGACTCTGGCTGCCCCGACCCAGGTATACAGAGGCACTAATCCTGGGGACAGAGGTGAGACATGGTTGAGGTCTTGGTGGACAGAATAATCTCAGGGACACAGCCCAAGCTTTTAGTACGCGCTGCGCGCCCACACACACTCCCTCATTTTGAGCTCAATCACAGACAGGACTGGAATAAGCTTTTTGGGGACTGTGGACATACTCATTTACCTAAACTGGAATTCTACACACACACACACACACACACACACACACACACACACACACACACACACACTTCTTTTTCTTTATTGGCCAGCATGGTCACACACCAAATGCATACACTCATGTGGCTTCAAAAAAGCTACAAACCCTCAAACGGACAGGGGCTGAAAGCAGATCTGGACAGATCTGGTGGGCTTTCCCCACTTCCGCCACCTTCTCTGCCCACCTTTCGCTGGAACGATACCAGGCACCACACAGGTGCTCCTCCCTCCATGCCCAGCTCCAGAACCCAGGCCCTGTCCCTTGTGACTCCCAGGTGAGAGCAGACTGCAGACTCCCAGAAGTGCACTGTACAAAGTGCCCCCTTGCAAAACTGGGCTCGTTTGATGTCTCCCCCACTGCACTGCGTTTTCATCGTTTAAAGACAACCGTTAGTGTGGCCTCTGAGGAGGCTGAGACACCAGGCAAGAAGAGTCAAACTGCTTGCTCTCAAGCTCCTGGTGAGAAAGACGCCCTTAGGCCCCCAGGGTAAAGAAAGAGGCTAGGCCCCTACCTGTCCTATGGGGTCTTCAGGACTGGCTGGCCATTATATCACCTGCCTTAGCCATTATGGCCAAGGAAAGGAGCGGCCACTTGACCTGGAACTGCCCCTAACCTACAGAGTGACCCCAGAGTGAGTAATTCTACTAAATTCCTATTTCCTAGCTGATACCGGGGCAGTAAAGGAGAGGTCGTAAATGCTGGACCCCCTCCCCCATACAGCCTTCCTCCTATACAATCCCCTTCGTTTCTATGTTGCTGGGATCCCCCAATTCTGAGGACAAGGCAAGCTCCTGCCCTTGCTGGGACAAAGTCACAAAGGGCAGGCTGGGAGGAAAGACAGCTGGAACCTTCCAAGACCCAGTTGCATGGCATCGCAGTCTGAAACGGAGGCACTCCTCTAGGAAACAACCAAGGAAGGCCAAAACACTCCTTGTCCCTGTCCCTTCTCAGAGACAGGGCTCTCTGTCCCAAAGGAGATTTCAGATCTACACAAGATGAGGCACATCGAGTCCACTGTGGCACTGAGAAGCAGAGACAAGAGTTGAGCGCTTTCGGAAGTAATGGGGAGAAGGTCTGTGGAGTTGGGGGTCTAATCTGCCAGCAAGCTGGGAAACCAAGACACGTATTGACAACAGTTCTCTAACATCGTTATAGTATACTCAAAGCCGGGAGGTTGGGGCTCCAGGAAAAATCCTGAGATGTTCTCAGGAACTTGGCAAAAGGCCGATGGGCTTGGGAATAGGCCTTGCTTTGGTGGCTGTGGATCCCCAGCCCAGGCCGATCAGCCTCTGCAACTTCTGCTGGCTATAGGAGTCCAGACCCCAAAGTAGTTCCCAGTGGAGGGGAGCGTCCAAGACCTCACTCAGCCTTGGTATTACTTTGAGGTCCCTTGGGAGGAAGGTGCAGGCCTAGAGGCTGGCTTACACCAAGCTGAGGGAGTGCAGGCCGGAGTCTCCGGAGACTCCTGAACTGGAGGTAAGGGAAATCCCCCTGTGGCTTCAGGCGTCCTTACAGAGCTCCGGACCTCAGTTTCCTTATCTTTACTAAAAAGGCAAAGCTCAGAGTGACTCTGCTGTCTCCTGCCAGCACAGGGTCATTCGCGGCTTTATGAAAGGGCCCCACAGAGGAGTCCTCGCCCACTGCGATCTAAACCCCACCAGGCTCCGGGCGGTCCTTCCGCCAGGGCGGCCCGGCTCGCCAGGGTGGAGACCTGCCGTGGCTGTGCAATGCTAGGAGACACCGGGACCGGGGCTTTCAGCTCCGCAGTCCTCCCGCGGCCTCGCGCAGCCTCGAGGGTACCTCTGAGGGTGCGGCTCCGCTGGGAACAGCCCGGCCACCTCCTCTTTCGCTTTCGATTCGGTGCACGCAGGTTTTCGTTGAGAGCAATTTGGGACCGCCACAGCCCATGCGGAATGCAGAGCCCTCGGCGCCCAGGTCCCCCGGGGCTCTGGCCTGGCTCAAGCCCGAGCGGCGCCACCGAGGGGCATGTTCTGATTTTTTGAATTAGACGAAATGTTAAACTCTGGAGGTATTTCTCTACCTCCCCCTCCCCAGTACAGACACAATCCACACAAGGTGACTCTTCCTTGATTTAGTCAAGGACTCGGGATCTTTTGTAAATCCTCCCCTCCCGAAAAAGTGGAGAATGGGGACGTAAGGGGCCCGGGGAGCAGCCTTAAGTAGTCCCCAGGCCATTCTGAGAGGATTAATTCTCTTGGTGAAGGCAGAGATCCCCTGCCAGTTTTAGGGGGAAGGCTGGGAAAGAATAGCTTTGAATTTTTAACTATGTTCGTTTCCATAGCCCCCAGCCCGCTCCAAAAATCCGGCCCCAAAGATACGTCCTTAACCAGAGAAACAGAAGGCTTGTATTAAAAGTCTAACATTATTTTGAAATCAATGGGCTTGGCATACTTTTTTCTTTAATTTACACATAAATTGAAGGTTCAGCGTCTCAAATAGAAAAATCGGGAAATTGGTTGGGAACTTGCTCAAGTCACGGTCCTATATGTGTTGAATATGCGCACGAAAAATTTCGAGGGAGAAAAAAACCTTTTGTGAATCAAGAAAATTGCAGGAAAAAATTCGAAGCACCGGGGAGCCCACTTGCTTCTCACTGCAGTATGTCAAGGGTGACCTTGTAACTCCCGGACGTTTGTGCTGCCCTGACCCTAACAGGAGGCTACAAGCAGCTTAGCTAGAACCTCTCTACGGCTCTCCTGAAGCCATCAAAGCCTTCAAGTTGCCCCTGAGGTTCTGGACGCGGAGGAAAACAAATTATAACACCCTGTACTACATCTTGCTAACGTCCTGGAGGGCTTTGGTTTCCAGCGGCAAATGGATAGACTTTTCTGGAAAGCGCCTTGATTCAGGTCGTGGGCGGGTTTCTTCTGGAAACTGCGCGCAGAGCAGTTGTACAGTTGCTTCTGTAGTAGGCTGAAAAAACGAAACGGAAAAACCTCTGTAGCAACTGGGAGGGAGGAGAGGTTGGCGTCCCGTGCGTTTGACCCGGGTTGGGGCTTGTCTGCTGGCCCCTTGGACCTCGGGGGTGCCGGAGGCAGCAGGCAGGGACAGGACAGGAAAGCTAACTGCCTGAGCCACCCGCCGCTTTCCCGGCCTGGGACAGGACACGCACGGAGGTCGCGTTCCAGAAGCATGGCCACAAGCGCACTGATACACAGGTAGGGTGAGTGGGAAAGCAAGTACTTAGGAAACAAGAAAATTCTGGAAAGCCCCTGGTGCTCCAGCGTCCTCAGTCTCGAAACTTGTTTCCTCGGGAAGCCGGGAGAGCTTAAGCGGCAGTCACAGGTTTAGGTGGGACGGGACCGCTCACTCGGTCTTGTGACCAAATGTCGGCTTCAGGGTGCCACTTGCATGTCCACTGACAACTGTGGACCTCTCCAGGCTGTGCAGTCCCCTCACTGAGGAGTTACAGGTGGTTATCAGACCGGGAAACCACACGGGTGCTTGGACCCCAGCTACAGCTCAGTGACGATTCCCTCCAACGAATTCAGAGTGGAAGCCCACGGTGACTCCATGTTTAAGCTATAGGAGCCACCAGCTCAGCACCACTAGACAAGTGGGAATTGGTCCTTCCTCCCAACAGGGCCCCTTGGGAGAAGGACCACGCACCCTCGCTCTAGTCAGCAAGCGGTTCCAGCCACAGTCCTTAGCCACGGTTTCTTCTCTGAGACCACTTACCAATGGCCCCCGGGGACCACACTACTC